GGAACCCAGCTAGAGCTGCTCGTCAAATGCCACTTTGAAAGCTCACACGTTTGTGTGTGTGYGTGTATGTTTGCATAGTGGCAAGTAATTATTGTGCAATATATGTGTGTTAATAATTTGCTATGTCCGGCAGCACACCGACCGACACACCATGCCATAAGCCTTAGCCAGCCCTGAAGTGCCTGCACTTATAAAACTCTAAAAATGCCAATATTTTTGCGCAGACGCTTCCCGCCTCGCCTTGGCATGGAAATATTTGCAAGCACCGACGCGCATACATATCAATAAATGTACTCGTATAAAGTAATGGCAGTAAATGTAATACATTCGCAGCCACAAAAGTAAAATTTAAAATTTATTTGCCACCATTGAATGACACGAACTGCGCCGCTGATGGCGGCAGCCGTTTTTATTATACCTTACCTACTTATTTAACACTTTCGTATTGCCGCCGCCGCTCGACTGGCAGTTCAGTCGCTGGCAAATACAACACAATAACAACAACAAAATATATTAAGGTCGCTTTATTCACACTTTGCAGGCCATTTTGTGGCATTACAGCGCGTCGGGGACGAAAAGCGCTCGGAGACGAAGAGCGCAGCGGCGGCAGGTGAAAAGGCGGCAAGCGAAGTGTTTTTTCTGCTGTTTTTGGGAAACGAGATTTTTAATGCGAACAATTAATTTGCTGATGCCGATTTAAAACATTTTTTTTTTACATATATATTTTTTTACAGTGTAATTTCGTATTCGCTTATTGTGGCTATTTATACACATTTATACTTAAGTGTACGTATTTTAATAAAACGTCATACTTGTCAGACGCCTCTCAACAGCGTGTACACATGTCGATCCTTGGCACAACAGCGCGCATACAGACTTGCAGACATGCAGACAAAAAAATATATATCCTTAAATACATATGTACATGCATACATAATATATATAGACATACATATATGTACATGTAGCCATACATACATATATTACATATTTATAATTTAGCTGCGCTTGCGCAAATCACCGCCATACATATGCTTATGTGTGTGTGTTAATATAGCTGTTTG